CAGGCAGAGGGGAAACACAAAACACACAGCAACGTATAAAAATGATTCTTATTACATATGTACAAAAACGTCAATGGGTATCAGTCACTATGGGAACACACCCAACCTAGAAATATGTTTGTTTGGCACATGAACATCTCGAATGTACGCTACATAGACGTCACACATCCAAATTAACACACACGCGCACCTATACACACACACACACACACACACTCGCTCACGCACGCGCGCTCACACACAAGCTCATAGACCTACACTACCATTCATACATACATACACACGCGCACAACGCACACACAGCAGGAACAGCCAAGTTAACCGGAGTGACCGGAGTTAACACTTGATAAATAAGACAAGTCGTCGTCGCAGATTTTTTTTCCGTGGGTGCTTTCATTGTCGAGCATTCATGAATGACTTGAGCAACTCCAAGTGGTCGCGGTGTTGGACGTCCGTAAAGGCGCTGTACGTGAGTCGACTGGGGACCCCCGTGCTCACCACCCCGCGCAGGAACCACCGGCCGCCCCTTTGGAAGGAGAGCCCGCCGCCGCTGTCGCCCGGCCAAACCGTCGAACCTGCGACACAACCGTCAGTCAACATCCGTGGCCCTATGGATGGGGGTTGTGCATCATCATTGCCGCACATACAAAAATATAGAGAATGGCCTTACCGTTAATGTTTCCAGCACAAAACTTGTCGGGTGAAACGTATCGGATAATGTTGTCCGGAATCCTGGCGACGCAAGTTTCGTACGGAACGAACGGCATGGTCGCATACTGGAGCCTTTTGCTGGGCTCGTCCGTCTCCGTCTTGCCCCAGCCCGCAACCTTCGGTAGCAGAGAGATGGGCAACGCGCATTAGGGGTGGGTAACCGTGAAAAGGGTAGTAACATTGCAGTGCCACTGTGGCCATGTTTGCCCGTCTTTAGTTGTGTCTGCCGGGTGCATCAAAGAATGCATCCGATAGTGTGGCAGGTTTGCATGATAACCTCACGGGCGGAGGTAGTAGGCAAACCCGCAACACCATGGTGTGCGTTCTCTGCTGACACATCCGGCACAGAGAGCCTATGCTCTGAGGGGCTCGATCGGGTCTGGTCCCAGTTTCCCTGCGGCCGGCGCACAGTGTCGCGGGTCGCACGTACGAGGCTGCACTCTCACCTCGCCCACCTCCCCGTCCCGCAGAGTGTCGCTGCCCGTCAGGTCCAAGCAGATGGGCAGGACGAGGGTGCTGACGACGAAGCCGACGCGCAG